CCCCCCCCCTTCACTGGAGAACTGCGCTAAAACAGCTAATCACAACGTTCACGCTCTGTGGTCACGAAGTACTCCACTAGCCCCCCCCGTGTTGATAGAAATCAACACGTAATGAAATAAGACCCCACGGTTTGATGATTGATAGGTCATTTTGACACAGAAAAATGTTATAATAAACATACATACATACATACATACATACTGTATGTTAAATGGATATATCCGCCTTCTTTCATTTATCTTTCCATTCCCACAACAATATACATAAAGAAATGGCTTATTTTGGACATAGTTTGAATGGTGATTAATCTGATTACAATGTTTAATCGTTTTTTCATCCCTAATTATTTTATAATGATAATCGGCTCACTCCAGACCCACCCATCAATGAACGTCGTGGATTTCAATACGAATATATAGGTGAAAAGGTCTCTTAAATTCATGGGCCTCCAAATACTTTTTTAAGTTACATTTTGTAGTTTTGTTTTCCTACTGGATTAGATTTGCTAGTTATTACCAAATGTTTTTGCAGTAATAAAGGAGGAGGAAGGTCCAGTGGTGACATCAGTCCATCAAAGGTCAAACGGGCACCTCTCCAGCTCTAAAGCACAGCACACACATCAATACAGATTTGTTACCATCTTTTTGTGTACCTTGATTTAATTAACGTTTTGCCTCTTAATGTTAACTTATTGTATTTGCCTTTTATCTGCACCGCCACTAGGATGTAACAAAGCGCATTTTCTGCCTTACTTTTATTATTTACTACAATTAACAATTTGATATATTCCCTTTGTTTATATAATACAGCTACTTATTGATTTACCATGCTTTTTACTTTGATTTATTTCATTGAAAGAGAACTTCCTCTTTCCCTTTCCCAAACCTTAGTGCATGCAGAGAACACAATCCCTGTGTTTCCTCCAGAGGGCATTTCTACCAGTAAAGGTTGTTACTGGTTGTGATGGTTAGTGGTTGTGATGGTTAGTGGTTGTGATGGTTATAGGTTGTGATGGTTACTGGTTGTCATGGTTAGTGGTTGTGATGGTTACTGGTTGTGATGGTTACTGGTTGTGATGGTTA